TGTGTTTGCACATTCACTTCTATCACTTAACCGTGGTTAATTAGTGTCATTAGACCACTTAACCATGATAAGTTGAACTGGTTTGGTGTGAACACCCGATGCGGATAAGTAACTACCGGACTGGCTTCCTAAAACTTATCAAAATCAAATCTTTTTCTCTTAAAATAGAGTGAATGAGCACAAAAAGGATTTTCTCTCCAGCATCACCATCTTCATTCACCAACAAAAAAGGACAAAGCATCAAACATCCATATAACAAACAAACAAATAAACAAAAAAGAAATACTGTAATAATCAGTTCTAAAGAAACAAAAACCATGATTCATATCCACCGACAGCCATATCCATAAAGATTATCCAACAAAAAGGGGTCAAACAAGAAATAAAAAACTGAGGGGAAAAAAGGAAAAGGAGAATTACAGGATCATTAGCAACAAGCTTGGAGATACGATCTGATAATTCAAAATTATGGCGAGAACCAGCCCAAACAATCTTCATCTCATTCACATCAAACTCAGCTTTTCTCCTCTCATCAGCCAAGTAATCAACACCCTCCATCTTTCTCTCTCAGATCAAAACCCAAAAATTCTTACACAGAATGAGGAAAAAAAATCCAATCTTTGGTTGTTTTAACAAATACCCAATTAAACTCTTGAATAAAAAAAAAGGAGAAAAAAAAAGAAGGATAAGGATTGAACACGTTTGAGCTTTCCAAGAAATGATTTATGTGTGCTATTTATAGTAGTAGTAGTAGTTGTAGTTGGTGCTTATGCAGGCACTCTTACATAATCATATTTTGACTCTGCTTTTGTTTTACAGTATATCCCTTTGGCGTAATTATTATTTATTATCTAAAAAGTTTGTTTATATTTTTAGCCTTTTTGCTTCGTAGGTTCCAAGGTTTGAGGTGTGAACACTCAGTACAGTAGGCGAGCATAAATAATACTATAGTAGTAGTATTCAATACTCCTATTTATTAATATTGCTCTTGCGTTTAATATTTACAATATTGGTTAATATTTAAAAAATCTGTTCGAGGAGTATTTTAAGTGAAAGAGAATATTATTTCACGTACAATAATAGTATTATTTAATCTTTTCAAAGTACATATATGTCAAAAAATGAAAAAAGAAATGTTAAAATACAATTTTAATTTTCTTTTCAATTTCAGCTGCAAATATTTCTTTTCAAACTTCAATAAAATATTGTCCAAAAGGCTACGAGTAAATTTGGCTTACTTTGTTTTAATCAATTCTCCTCGTATTGGTTATTTTTTAAAAATTTGTCTCTTTGAATACAATATTATAGACAGTGGCAGAGTGGATTTCAAGCTTATAAGTTCAGAATTTTAATTGTTTTATGTTTTTAGATTCTGAATTAAGAATTTATACATATTCAGTGGATTTTTTTTTAAGACAAATACAGGGATTGAACCAAAGCTACTGGGTACGATCGAATCCGGGTTCGCGCCGCGTAGGGCCCCTTTCGGGAGGAAGCGCTCCCTACCAAGGATTTTTCCATACCCAAGTCTCGAACTCGAGACCTCTAGTTAAGGGAGGAGCAGTCCTGTCCACTGCACCACATGCTTTGGTGCTAGCTCTGCCCTTGATACAATCCAAATTCCTTACTAGAAAATCTTTAAAGAGGTTTATATAGTGGAAATTATTTAGATATGCTGCATATTCATTGTTCTATTAGTTATTGTTGAAAAGGATTCATTGATGAGCATGTTGTATTAGAGATTATTAATTTGTTTCTCTTTTGGTTACGAAGTAATTGATTTGTTTCCTTTCAATAAAAGACAAAGGATAATATTAATCCTAATCAGCATATAACTGAAACAGAATGTTTATTATAGTCTACCCGAGATTACTAACATACTACATTAGATAGAGAGATTGGAAGAACCAATATTTGATCAATTTTATAATAAGAAGAATTAATCCAAATAGCAGTCTACCAAATTGCTTAAACTAAAAATAGTCCGTAAAAGAATAGTGTATGCATAATGATGTATTATATGCGTATAATTATTTATAAATAATGTGTAGTCTATGTATATGACCAAAAAAAGTAAACAATGAATATGATCGGCTATTTAAGTGTCGTTAGCCAATTAACAAAATTTTAAAGTTGGTTGACCACATTATTCATAGAGATCAAAATTTGAAGGGGTATTATCATTTTTAGCTCCTGCCAGAAATTATTTACATTTGGTAGTCGAAAAAATATATAAAATTTGTATAATTTTTGTGTATAAAATACATAATAAATTTATACATTTTTTGGCTATTAATTTTACAGCGGCTATACAGTGTCATTTTTCCAAATATAAATTGTGTTGTCATGAGTTCCAGCTTAAGGGTATTATCGTCATTTTTGTTCAATTATGCCTCCTTAGGCATCATTTGTTTCCACTCAATGGATGTCTGAATCTTAATCATTCAGATCTCAAACATTAAGTGCGTTTGTTTTTAAAGTCTGAATATTAATCATTCATATCTTAATCATTAAGTTTGTTTGTTTTACTTCAAAATCACTTAATAGGTCTCAATAGGTTTGTATGACTAAGATCTATAACAAAGACTTAATTTTATTAAGATGCTTTCGTCTACATTCATTATTAATTGCCGCCATCGCCTACCATTATCAACTATTATCATGACACCCACATCACCATACTCAACTACCATCACCACCTCCTCAATCATAGCCGCCACCATTACCAACAACCATCACCCAGAATCCCCACAACCCCGCCGTCATCATTCTCAACCATAACCACAAATTCATCCACCTCAACTACCACAACTAACCATCCCATCACCATCAACAACCATAGCCGGCACTGCCCACTATTATAAACTACCACCACCTTCCTCAAATCACAACCACAACCACCATCACCACTCACAATTATTAATTGTTACCACCTACCACCATCATTCTCAACCATAATCGCAATCACTACCAATTACCACTAGCTACTACTCATAACCACCACCATCAACCAAAACCACCACCAACCACCGTCTCTAGTCGGCATTCACAAGCACCACCGTTAGCCATCACCACCACTAACTACCATATTTTAAAAAAATAAAATAAAATTATTGATAGAATATTAGATTAATTGGTATTTTATTTGAATTTTAAGTTTATTAGCTTTCAAAAAAGATAAATTTTATACATTCAGATGTTAAAAACAAACAGTCTTAATCATTTAGTTTTCAGATCTTAATACACATCTTAATATTCAGATGTGTATTCAGATTCAGATATCTTAATTTTAATGCATCTTGATATTCAAATGTGTATTCAGATTCAGACGCCTTAATTTTTTAAAAAACAAATGAGGCCTTACTCTCCCGTATTCATTATAAATAAGCTGATTATTTTATTTTTTTATTCCTGAACTTAGTTAAAGCTATTTTTCCAACTTTGTGATTACTTGGTAAACAATAATTTATCAGTTACTATTCCCAAATTATCAACGATTCATGCGAAATCCATTATAAAAATTATGACAGGAAAACATTCCTTTCAATAGTTCTTACATAATGTGAATATATATTAATTGGAGCCTCAAAACGAATATCGGTTGTCTGAAAAATAACAATTTTAACATTTCTAAAGAAAATAGAAAATTAACGGTCTAATAAATTAACCAATCTGGGTGCGCAATTAAAATTATTGCTTCAACTGGAATAGAGCAATAGCCGCACATTGGTCAAGTCAACAAACGATACAAAATGAAAAAACAAAAAAACAAAAAACAAATACGTAATACAAAATTGAAATTATCGCTCAACTATCACGCCATTCACGTGGGTTTTCATTACTACTCTTAACCAAAGATATATTAAGAATAATAAAAAAAAAACTGACTGTATTGACTTGAATCATTATTCGTAAAAAATATTTTCTTTTAAATGATCTGAGAACCAAAATAATTTTTACGTTTGAGTTAACTCATTATTATATGGATTTAAGTTATAACCGATTAACCAAAATGTCCTTGATACTAAAATGGCAGAATAGTCTAAACGGCACTTGTACTTCACCCACTTTGTCATGCCGGTCCCCAAACTTACATATTTGCCAATTGAACAGTTATACTCATTCAAAACGTGAATAATAAACGCTTATCCAACGTGGCTTATCCTATGTGTCATATGTGGCTGCAGTGCGTGATTCACACGCCTGTAAGGGGCGTGAAGACAGTAAAAAAAAGCCCTAACGGTAATAATTTAGCCTATTTAACATCCATCTTCTTCTTCGTACCTTATTCTCCATTGTTGAACATTGTAGAAGCTAAATTTAGCAAATCTGATGCCTTCTTCTTTCTTTGTTAGCTTCAACTGTCAAAAATAGAATTTTAATTTCATGTGAATCTTCTTTGCCCATCAATTTTTGCAATCTCCTTTTGTTTTGAAAGTGGATTTTTTTCTGCTTCTCCTGCAACAAATACGCTATTGCCGCCTCTTCTCCTTCAACAATGAGGATGCAACCTTTGTGTTATTGTGGAGTTGCTGCAGATCTTAAAATGTCACGAACACCCACCAATCCTGGAAGGAGGTTCCTGGGCTGCCGAAGATATGAGATTGGTGAAGGTTGTGGCTTTTTCAGATGGGTTGATCCTGCGATTGAGGAAGAACACTACAAGACTCTTCTTGCGGCTCTTATTAAGAAGAGTGATCGATGCCATTGTCAAAGAAGTCAAGGAAGGTCGAAGTTGAGAGTTGCTGCTATTATAATTGTGGTTGTACTTGTTCTAATGTTAGCTATTATGTTATTTGTTTAGGATTGATAGTGCACTTTGTTATTTCCTGGGTTTAGGCTACATATTTTGTGTTGATGTAAAATTTTGTTCATGAAATATATTGACAAAGGCTCCATTACAGCAACAAGTACTAATATAATGGCCTGTGTTATAGGCAGTTAATAAAACATCCAAAATAAGGGAGTTGGTTTACAAAATATTGTCAATGATAGGCAATCAACAAAAACATACATAATGAAGTAGCTTTACAAAATATTGTCTACCACAGTCAACAAAAACATAGTAAATATCAGTTGAGCACTTCAATTAATGTCTGTTGTGGCTTGGCTGCTTGGTGTGGATTGTGTAACTGGTGTGGCTTGAGTGGTTGTAGCAGACTTTGCCCTTCTGTAACTCTGTTCTTGCAGCTGCCTTTGTGTAACTGCTGGTCGGCCCTTCCACTTTAGTCCAGGTGGTTTGAACCTAAGTTCAATGTTGGTAGGAGCAGAACTTATGAGTGTAGAAGGATTGTGTACCACTCTGTCAGTAGTTCCAGACTGCACAAAAATAAAAGGTTGTGAGTGAGGGATTATGTAGTAAACCATTGTGTAATTGAGTTGAAATATTTACCCTCTGTATAACAGTGCCACTTGAATCAAATAGCACACCATATCCTGCTGTCTTTGTTCTCTTAGACCCTGCATTTGCACCACCTCTTCTAGGCTCATTGGTCTTCCTTTTTGGACCTCTTGCAACATTAGTTGATTGTTGTGTGCTTGGATCAAGGATTGCTGGTGTTGTTGATGCACTTGCAGGTATTGTTGATGCACTTCCAGCTGCTGCAGTTCCACTTTCAGCAGTTTCACCTCTACCTGAACTAGTTCCAGCCCTTCCCTCTTGGTTTTTCTGCATACACATAACAAAACTATCACTAGTAATTGAATTCTTTCAATATTAGTAACAAAACAAACATTAATACTTACTGCTGATGGGCATCCTTTCTTGTTATGTCCTACAGTCTTGCACAAAGAACATCTCATTTGTCTCCCTATCCTTGTACCCTTCCCAAACTTCTTCTTTGGTTCATCAGCAGCCTTTGTCCTTTTTTTCTTTGGCCTTCCCGGCATTGCAGTTATAACAGGTGGCTCAATAGCTGGCAGTGTGCTTGTTGGCCACAAATTCATACTAGTTAAAGGTTGAATGAATCTGCTATATGCCTTAAGGTAGGTATCCTTTCTATACCAATGGTCAACATATGGCTCAACCTCATAGTTCTTGTAATGCATTGCTGTAATTGCATGTGCACATGGAATTCCTTTGAGTTGCCATGATCTACAAGTACAGGTATATGCCCTAAAGTCAACAACATGTTTATATGGCCCATCCTGGATCTCATACCCTGTTTCACCATTAAATTTGACTTCACATTTGGCTGCCCTTTGAGCATTCTCTCCAAGTATTTCCATAGCCATGGGTGATATCTCACCTACCCATTTTTCAGAAAACTCTCTCATGCTATTCATCCTCTCCATACACTTGATTCTAATTTCCTCTAACATAGTAATGATAGACTTGTGCCTAGCTGCCAATATCCAACTATTGAATGTCTCACACATGTTGTTCTCAACTACATCACACTTACTATGGTCTTTGAAATATGCCCTACACCATGTTTCCTTGTTGTATTTCAGTAAGTCCTGAACAATATTTCCCCCCAGCTGGTCCATTTCATCCAACTTCTTGCTAAAGTAAACCTCAAATGTAGCTCTTGCACACTGCCAGAATTTTTTCCTTCTTTCCTCACCAGGCCAAGTTTGCTTCCAATTAGCCCAGATATGTCTAGCACACCATCTCATTTCAGCATTTGGCAATAACTGAGTTATTGCTAGATGAAGACCCTACAGTCATAAAAATTATATTGTTATAACTTAAACATAAATGAAAACAATTACACTTTAAAGAAAGAGTATTAGAAACCATACCTTCTGCATATCAGACATGACTGTCAGCCCTTCTCCTTCAGTTTCTGTCAAGTTTAGATCATGCTTGAGACACCTGATAAACCAAGACCATGTATCCTTTGATTCCTTTTCAACTACTGCCCAAGCCACAGGGAACATTTGATTATTTCCATCCTTGGAAATGCAGGAAAGCAGTTCACCTTTACATGTCCCCTTTAGGAATGCACCATCAAAGCCAATTATGTTTCTGCACCCTTCTAACCATCCAGTTTTTAATGCTTCAAGACAGACATAAATGCCCATAAAGACTTCCTTGCCAGAAACTGAATCCTTAGATGTCCTTATCACTACAGTAGTGCCAGGATTAGTAGACTTCAGCATTTCTGCATAATCATGAAGCCTAGCAAATTCTTTCTTGTAATCACCCATATTCTCCTTCATAACTATCATTTTTGCTCTTCTACAGGAAGTTTTACTCACATACAAGCCATATGATTGCCTAAGTAAGGCTTGAATCTGATGAAGTTTAATTTGAGGCTCACTAACTATTCTGTCTTTGAATTTTTTTGCAATCCATGGTGGGTTACACATCTTGTTCCTTGTTTTCTTGTAGCATTTATGGACAGGGTAGTATGTAATCACCCTAAAGTTTCTGGTGCTGCCTTCAATGCTACCAAGGATATGCCATGGACATCCATTTTTTGTGCACTTTGCCCTAACCCTTTCCTTCTCATTAGGTTTCAACTTAAGGTTGACACCTTTTTGAATAGAATATGTCTGCAATGCCTCCCTAAACTGTACAGCATTCTCAAAGATCATATACAGTTCAAAAAATATTTTTTTGGAAGTTGTATCAAAATACACCTTCTTACTTGGATTCCTAGCTGGAGCATCCCTTACTTCATCAGGGCCAACAGGTTCTCTGTCATCATCACTACACTCACTACCTGGATCTGAGCTATCAAAATACTGGTCATCCCCTCCTAGTTTCCCTTCATATTTTCCCCTTCTGTTCTTATGCATATCTTCAAAACCATCATCTACACCAACTGGACCAGATGGTATCTCATCTACATTTACTTGGGCATCCTTCTTTTTGTTGAGTTTAGACTGTCTAATTTCAACTAAATCATCTTCCAAATCACTACACTCTTCAATGTTCTCATCTATATCAAACAGTGAGTCAGACCCTTCAGAATCATCAAGGTCCTCATCAGATTCAGATTCTGATGTTTGAAGGTGATAGGAAGAGAAGTTATTACTTTCACCTTCATCTGATTCTTCTATCTCTTCATTTAACCCACTGTCATGCCCCTCTGTTTGTATAGTGGGGTCTAGTTCAGTTATGTCCTCAACAAGAATAGGCTCACTAATTTTATGGACAATACAAACATCAACAAAGTCACCACCTTTCAATGTATTAAGAAAATTTAACACATCAGCATCTGTTTTTAAAATGAAATAGGCACCACTTTTGTTAACTTTACATCCAAACAAATCCACTTCTAAAAATCCTAAGTCCCTAGCAAACTTGTGAAACAACATAATATGTAGCTCATCCACATCAACTGTAGCTAAGTGAGGACAGGTTAGTCCATTTGCATACCTTAGGTCAGGGTCGGATACAAAATTACCACTGTGGTGGATTTGTAGGTTAACTAGGGTTGAAGCCATTTTCTTTTCATACCTGCAAAGAAACAAAAAAAAAACAGTGTTATCAATGACTATTTGTTATCAAAAGTTGCACCTTTACACAACTCCATAAACAAACCAACAAAAAAGACAGATTTTTAAAGTAAAAAAGCATCCAAGATTCCTTTTTCGTCCCCACAATGCCTTATAATATTCAGAAAATACTGTGGTGGACCGCTAACATGAACGAGACCCAACAAAAACCCAAGACACTAGGATGAAATTCTGATTTGAAAACAAAAACCCAAAACACTAAAGAGAATAACCAAATATGCCATTACATGCATGACACTACATTAAAAAGGCCTTTCACTCTAACATGTAGCAAAACACAACAAAAGCCCTATATATTAAGGGATATTAAACAGCAATTACGACCTAACCCAACCTCCCCCTAAAAAACCCTAAACAGAGCAAAATCCCCATAAATAGAAGGAAATGAAGAACAATAAAGACAAAATATGAAGAATAAATGAAGAAACTTACCCCACAAACTTTGATAACAACTGTACAGATGAAAATCCCGGCAAGAACGACGGAGAAGAGAGGAGCGACTCACTGTTGTTCGATACTATCTAAGCCCTAATTTAGGCGGGTAATTGTAAAATGAGGGAATGTGGGGGTTGGGGGGGGGTAAAGTTAATTTTTTATCCTATTTGGCCATCAGATGTGACTTGGAGCCTACGTGGATATATTTTATTGACGTGGCGTCCTACGTGTAGGCGATTGTCAAACACGCACTGGCAGCCTCATTGGATAAGCGTTTATTATTCACGTTTTGAATGAGGATAAGTGTTTAATTGGCAAATATGTAAGTTTGGGGACCGGCATAACAAACTGGATGAAATACAGGTGCCATTTAGGCCATTCTGCCATACTAAAATACCCTAAGTTTCAAACCTTTGGGTGTTTAATTTCTGGACGGTACCTTCCTCTTTCCTGTTTGATGTTTTGACCAATCTCGCCTTTTCCTATTTGATGTTTTGACCAAAGACACTTATTTCTATTTTCACAAAAAAGTCTCGCACTTTATATTTAGTTATTTACACTAAATAAATTAATTGATAAATGAAGATGAAAATATGTATTAATCAATCATAGTCTCCTGATAACAATTTAGGTAAACATTAAATTATGCATCTTTGAAATAAGTCGAGGTAAACGCCCAGTGTTTGAACAAAAGTAGATTCATCCTTCTTCTACTGTCCAACTTACAGAATGGGCGAAACTAGTGTTGTACATCGGTCGGGTTGGTTCGAATTTTTCAATATACAAATCAAATCAATTAAAGTCGGCGTTTTTAATCTTGGATTTTTCGGATTTTCAGGGTTTTTTTCGGTTTTTTTTCTCCATAAAGTCTTCATAGCACAAAACATAGATTTTGTGCTCCAAATATTTCTTTGATCCTAGTAAGACATAACTATATAAGGTGTTTTTCAAGAGAATAACATAAAATATGAGATGAGCTATGGCGTCGTACTAAAATACTCAACAATAAAGATAATTCGCATAAAATAAATATCATTAATATTTCATAATGAAAATAAACATAATCTAAAATTACTAAGTTGGTAAAATAAGTACGACTAACAAGTACTATTTTTACATGACTAAACACTATAAAAAATAAGTTGTGCATTTTATCTAAACCATGAAAAAATTACAAAATAGATATCCAACACTATTGTTATTCCAGTACAATTTAATTGAATGTCTTTTATTAGCATTAATATTGACTATAAAACTTATTGTAGCATTCAAGAATTATAAGTCCAAGCTTAAACTAATACGTTAAAAGATAAAATTATGAATTTAAGAAATATTTACAAACCACGTAACAATAAATATTATTATGTATTAAATATATTTAAAACTTCTATATATATAATGTCGGGTTGGTTTGGTTCAGTTTGACTTTTTTTAGTTATTAAAATCAAATCAAATCAATTATGGTCGCGTTTTTGCTCTCAATACCAAACCAAATCAAACCAAACCAATATTGGCAAACTAATTGACAACATCAATTATTGTCCTTAATAGCAATAATAAAAGCACATCCAAGAAAGTCAACAGATAGTTTTCTTGAATACCATGACATATACAGGTATTAAGGGTGTATATTGATTAGGTTGGTTCGATTTTTATCAAAATCAAACCAAACCAACTATATCGGATTGGATTGGTTCGATTTTGGCGGGTTATTAGAATTTTTGTTACTTTAATATTATTTCAATCTTACTTTGTTAAATTTTTGATAAGTAGATATATGTTTAGTAATAATTTAAAAAATTTACAAACATATTATCTATTAAATATTCTTATGGA